AAAAAAGAAAAATATTAATTTGTGTGTGATCTTTTTCTTTTTCCAAAATAAGTATCTTTACTACCCTATAAACTAACTCAAAATTGCAATTTGTTTGTGCAAATGAAATTTTAATACCACTACTTTCAATTTGTTAAATTCAATCATGCATGAAATATGAATAATAGATTATGCATCAAATAAGAAACCGAGCTTTCCACACATGTACATCTCATTACAAAAATTATTATCATGACATAAACAAAATTGCCATGAAATCCAGTTTTTTTTTCTTGGGATACACTGTATAGTTTTTTAATATACAAACATACATGTACTTGGTTTCGTCCAAATATTTGCTTAGTTACAGTTGGTAATATTTTTAAAGTGAAGAAAAATGTTCCATTTCTCCCCGGTTTTCCCTAATACATGGGACTATAAATGATTGGCATTACCTTGGTGCATGCTGAACACAAGTGCTTTCACTTTGATTTCATTACTTGTTCTGTGACAACAAATCAACCAACAATGTGGGATCTACATGTACTTATTTCTACTAATTACAGAAATAATTGTTAACGGTAAATCTTCCCTTGTATGTGTATCTTAGAATATAAGGTTACCTACTTCCGTCATTTTAGGGATTTCATTACGTTTGAATGATTCTTGTTCATTACTCAAATTGTTTTCAACATTTTGTCATGATTAAAATATTTTGATGATGTTATTTTAACTAAAGCATTTAAATACTCCTTTTTTCACTTTTTGTTTTATGTAATATTAGAAACACAATTGTATGCATTTGGAAGATGTATGAATGCAGAAATGTTATAAAAATGTAATTGTTCAATGTCATTGCAACATTTGATGAACATTTCTAAAATAACATTTAAAGAACGTTACACAAAACAACATTGCAATGTTTCTATTAAATGTTTAAATTATATCAAAATATGGTCTTAAAAATAGATGGGTTGCATTTTTATAACATTTCATTCAAACATCTGTAAGATATCATTACAACATCTTATCAACATTTCTAAGATAATATTTTTAAGTCATTTGGGGATATCATCATTCAAATGTTTCTATTAAATGTTTAAATGATATCAAAATGTATGGTCTTAGAAATGATGGCTCACATTTTAAAAACATTTCCTCCAAACATTAATAAGATATCATTACAACATTTAATTAACATTTCTAAGTTAATATTTTAAAAACATTTTGGGATTTTATCATTCAAATGTTTCTATTAAATGTTTAAATGATATCAAAATGTATGGTCTTAAAAATAGATGGCTCACATTTTAAAAACATTTCCTCCAAACATTAATAAGATATCATTACAACATTTAATTAACATTTCTAAGTTAATATTTTTAAAACATTTTGGGATTTTATCATTCAAATGTTTCTATTAAATGTTTAAATGATATCAAAATGTATGGTCTTAGAAATAGATGGCTCACATTTTAAAAACATTTCCTTCAAACATTAATAAGATATCATTACAACATTTAATTAACATTTCTAAAATAACATATTAAAAACATTTAAGAATAACAATATTGTAATGTTTCTTTGAAATGTTATAATGATATCAAAATGTATGGTCTTAGAAAAAGGTGGCTCACATTTTAAAAACATTTCCTTCAAACATTAATAAGATATCATTACAACATTTAATTAACATTTCTAAAATAACATATTAAAAACATTTAAGAATAACAATATTGTAATGTTTCTTTGAAATGTTATAATGATATCAAAATGTATGGTCTTAGAAATGATGGCTCACATTTTAAAAACATTTCCTCCAAACATTTATAAGATATCATTACAACATTTAATTAACATTTCTAAGTTAATATTTTAAAAACATTTTGAGATTTTATCATTCAAATGTTTCTATTAAATGTTTAAATGATATCAAAATGTATGGTCTTAAAAATAGATGGCTCACATTTTTAAAACATTTCCTCCAAACATTAATAAGATATCATTACAACATTTAATTAACATTTCTAAAATAACATATTAAAAACATTTAAGAATAACAATATTGTAATGTTTCTTTAAAATGTTATAATGATATCAAAATGTATGGTCTTAGAAATGATGGCTCACATTTTAAAAACATTTCCTTCAAACATTAATAAGATATCATTACAACATTTAATTAACATTTCTAAGTTAATATTTTAAAAACATTTTGAGATATCATCATTCAAATGTTTCTATTAAATATTTAAATGATATCAAAATGTATGGTCTTAGAAATAGATGGCTCACATTTTAAAAACATTTCCTTCAAACATTAATAAGATATCATTACAACATTTAATTAACATTTCTAAGTTAATATTTTAAAAACATTTTGGGATTTTATCATTCAAATGTTTCTATTAAATGTTTAAATGATATCAAAATGTATGGTCTTAGAAATAGATGGCTCACATTTTAAAAACATTTCCTTCAAACATTAATAAGATATCATTACAACATTTAATTAACATTTCTAAAATAACATATTAAAAACATTTAAGAATAACAATGTTGTAATGTTTCTATGAAATGTTAAAATGATATCAAAATGTATGGTCTTAGAAATAGATGGCTCACATTTTTATAACATTTTGTTCAAATGTTTGAAAAATATCATTAATATGTTATATCAACATTTTTGATAATATCAAATTGATATTGTTATAATGTTTAAGCTTAATGTTAAACAAACATTTTTAAAATGTTTTTTTGATGTTGGTGTTTAATGTTATAAATATGTTTTCTTGATAATCACAAGACCATACATTTTCATATGATTTTAACATTTGAACAAAACATTTCCCAAACGTTTAGCCAAACATTATCATGATGTTCTTATAATGTTTTTGTGTTAGCTGGGCAGTAAATTGGTATTTGAATTAATGAGTTACTGAAAATATTCTTGAAATTCAATTTAATAATTCGCTATAAGACAAAAAAGAGAAACATAAAGTTAACATTGAACTCATAACATGTTTTGTGCACATACTTAAATTAATGAAAACGAAGCATTATTTTCGACAAAATTTTACTAAGTTTAAACGAGTTGTATGAAGCCACGCGCCAATTTTAGCGCAATTTGTTGCACTTGTTCGTAATTCGTAAGTTTGAATTCACGATCTATGAAGTATCAATATACACAAAATTATATAATTCTGTTACCTAGCAACGCGCAATTCTACGGCAATGCGCTCGTACGCATCATATATTTTGTTGCATTTGTTTGTAAATTTTTGAAGAAATAAAAATTCTGAAGAAAAAAATGGAAACCAGTCATAGTGAAGAAGAGAACTATCTCAAAGTTTTTTTTATTTCAATTGTTTTATTATTATTTATTTATTCATATATATACATATAATTATACATCGATTTATCTAATTTTCTAGTAAGTGGAGTAAGAGTAAGTTGATCATAAAAGATAGTACATGTAATGCACTATAATACCAAGTGTTTCAAAATAATGTTTATTTATTTTATTAATTTATTTATTTATTTCTAATCTTTCTATATACATTTCTTGACGCAACGAGGAGTATACATTCCAAGAATTCAGATAAGAAATATTTAATTTTATTGTTGGCAATATTACCTTCTTCTTCATAATTATGTAACAAAACCTTGACACCATAGAGTGGTGAAGTGTGACGTTATCAAAAATCTATTTTTATAATTTCTCAATTTTTTTTTCATTTTCCGAAACAGCATAAAAAATAATGTCCAAATGACGAAAACCAATTGAAGTATTGACTGAGATATGACCATCTGAATAAATAGGTTATTTTGCTCTGGCTCGTAATGTATATGAACCAGAGCAAAAGAGCACTGAGTTTCTATAGGAAATCTATTAATTCAGATGGTCATATCTCTTCCAATACTTAACATATTCAATTGGTTTTTCACATTTGGACATTATTTTTTATGCTCTTTCGGAAAATGAAGAAAAAAATGAGAAATTTTAAAAACAGATTTTTATGATGTCACATGCAGCTTCGGAATATTTCAGAATTTTAGTTATGCAAGTAATCGTAATCATAAGATCAACTGAAATCTAATTTGAACGTGTATATTTCAATTAAGCATTTTCTATTATAGACAAACATAATCCCAAGCCTAACAGAGCTTTTCTTAAGACAAACATATATAAAAATAATATAAAGGATGACAAGGCATTAAATACAATTTTAAGAGTACGTTTGCAGGCAGTCCTGGCTAATTCATTTTAGTCTCCATATGTCTCAGATAATTCCAAAACTACCGCCAATAAAAATAAATCTCACCAATCTATATTAATCAAACACAATATATCATGGGGTGCATTCGGGATCTAGAGGTCTTAAGTCTGCAGGTACTCACACCCACCCCCACTGCACGTCAGAGAATGGAGAGAAATGGATAAAGAAAAAGAGGAGCCACAAACACATTAATGTGTATAATGAATCAGGTACCGGTACTCTAAGATTACATTGATAATGATTAGCATAAAAAATCCTAACAAGTCAGATTTATGATGTCTAGCTCCAGCAAGGCATACTTCTCTTCTTGTTTATCCAGTGTTATCCCTTGGTAATTCTCATTCATCTTAACTTTGAGATACACATGTATATATCTACAATTACTCACAAAAAGTAGGCAATGAATGTCACATAATCTTAAATGTGCTTTAAGGATAATGATTCAATCCATGAATTGCAAATTACAGCCAATTAACACATAAAAGATGAAATTATATTTTGTCTGAAAATTGCTCATGGGCCAGCATCATAATTTAAACAAAAAGACATGTTATCTCATTCCAAACTGTAACAAACTTTGTGTACTTCTAAACCCTTGTCATGATATGGTCAAATCATACATGTACATGTGTTTAGGTAATCAAATGATTTAAATCATGACTGGCTAGTTCATAAATGAAAATGAATCCGAGTACATAAAGATCTTAATGGGTATATGACAATGCACATACAGTCATACACATGCCACAAGGTAGGCAAAATACACAAAAGGGCATTGTGTAAAACAAGTACAAACATCGAAAATGATATCGCTAGTGACATTCCTTTGTCTCGCAATGTATGGTCAACAAGGGATCGAAAAGATCACAATGTACAAACATATTTAAAGTTTTGAATTTATTACTATCCATGTGCTATGTAAATCTATAGAAGGAAGTCTACCCTGACATCATTTTGGTTTCAATAAAAGCAAACAATGAGAGAAACAGATCGGTGAAAGTTTGAGGAAAATATGTTAGCAATTGTAGGTCTCCTTCGAGCAGAGTTCTCCCTTCATTATTTTTTTTACTGGGAATAATTCAATTACCATCCAAAATGCCGCTTTGAATTATACAATGAAAATAAAAACAAACTCATACACTACAAATTTACTTTAGATGTACTGTTAAAGAGTGTACTGTTTGCACTAATGACATTAAATGACATTAAACTGCTAATCACAATACAGGTATTTAGCAGTCAGCTCGATGGTATGGGTCTGATCCCACCGCTGCCACCACAATATTAAAAGCGACTGCCAAATTCAATATTCAGGACTAACAATTCTTTACAGTATTATATACTCAGGTTATCAAGATGGCAGCCCAAAAAGGGATAACAGTCAACACTTGAACATACACCAACTTCAATTAAAAACTAATTCCCTCAGAGGGCAGCATAACGCTTTGGTGAATGGCTGAACAATTTAATCTAATGTAAATTTTACAAACATTTGAATCAAATGTATAAATATGATGCAGAAATTAGAAAAAATGTTCCACAATGGTGCATTGCCTAAATCACTTTTTGAATATTTAACGCATGTAAAATTAATCAGTTCTTAGCGACATTGGTGTTTTTAATTTCTTCAAAGTAAACTTTCAAGATTATTTAGCTCTAATCCCCAGAGTGAAAAAATGACACTTCACATTGTACTTCACATTTTAGCTAACTCTTGAGTGAAAATATGCTTAAGAAATTGTCTTTCTTCATCCAAGCAATACATTATATATGGACAACTGATTTGAAACATTATCTGATAACTACAGATTTGCATTGAGACATATATTCAACTTTCCTTTCATTGAAAGAATATCACCATCTGGGTTAGTATACCATTCTCCTTGACACCTACAGGCGACTTTATCCCTTACACTAATAATGAAGTACAAAACACATTGGTTTTTATCATCTTCCCAACATTGGACATCAATGTCATCACCTGCATTCATCTCTCCAACATATTCCACAGAGAATGTCTTTACATTATAGTATGCAAAATCTTGAGAGAATTTGCTGAAGATATTACCTTGTAATGCAGCTAGGCTGGCACCATCATGGCAATACCTAAAGCATACTGATTGGTTTACATGGATATTCGAGTCGGTGTCACTTGGTAGAGCTTTGGTGGTATATGTAAATGATTGTTCCCTTCTAGGAGTGATCTGTGGAAAGGTGAATCTTTGGGGTGGGTTCTTGGATGTCGATGCTATGTACTTGTCTGCACCTTTGGCAGGAAGCTCAATCGGTCGTCGTGAAGCTAGACTGACCCTTACTGCCTGGCAGAAGTTTTGAGCGAGTATCTTGCCCGTCTTCTGGCAGCATGTAGCAGCATTGAACCAGAAAGAGGTCTTTCCCACATAACTAATTTTAATCTTCATGCACCATGGAAAAGACACATCTGCTCTGTCATAAAAATCTGGAGAGATTTCCAAAGTTTGGTAACTCAAAAAAAAACTTAAGCCGGAATCAATCTGAAAATCTCTTCTCAAAGAGAGCCTTACAATCATGGCCCTACTAAACTCAAAGTGCTTGACTAATCTCCAAACATCCACTTTCGCTGCAAATTAAGAAATAAACAAAATATTACTATTTTTTTTAGTTATTTAAGGAATGATGATTACGCATTGTAGAGGCCTTATGTTCTTTGATAGACATTAAGGGCCTAAATTCTTGTACCATATTCATTTTCAAGAACTGCTCCTTTGATTCTAAGTGATACGGTACATGGATTTTGTTTACCACATTTCTACCAGAAACATGCATGTCTCTGTTAGTGATTGTGGTAGCCCTGAGGCCCTTGAATAATATTGCATTATAAAAACAATGAATGAACATGTATGTGAAACATCGTAATGTGAAATTGTAAATAAAGATCATTATTGATGCCTAGCTGAAATTGTTCCTATAAACATGCAGTCACAGTGATAGGAAAGATGATTTGACCCCCCCCCCCACCCCCACCCCCTGACTCAGCTTCTCAGTTGTGTACCAAACTCCCAGGAGGACTCAGATTTGGTTTGGACAGAGGTTGTCGGTTTTTGTAAATATTTTTTTTAAAGGCCCATTTTGCACACTTTTGAAAAACAGACCCATGGTAAGGAATATTTTCGTGATAAAGTGACCCATTAAAGCGGCACTGTCGGCACACCCCTGTATCGCTTAATATGTGAGTCCCCCCCCCCCCCCCCACCCCCTGGGACCAAAGTCACCAAACTTCAAGTTCAGGATCCAGGAAAGTACTCACCAGCTTTATTGAAGTCACCATAAGAAAACCCTTCAGACTTGATGAAATAAGTTAATCCATCCTCACTCTTGCTGATCTTCATGATTGTCAAATATCGACCAGTTCTCTTTTCCTTTCAATCACTTACCAACACGATAAGGTACCTCCCTAGTTTCATGTGGAAAAAATTAAAATATAGTCAACATAGAATTTTGAGCGTTTTTTTTCTGATAGCTTTAGATGTACATGTATAATAACGCAACAACTGACTGCACTCAAGGAGATATTTAGCGTCGAATAAGCGGCGGGGGGGGGGGGGGGGGGGGGGGGGTAAGAGAACAATTAATTCTATTTTTGTAGCCCAATTCGTCATGAAATATTTAGCGGCGAATCAGTCAGTCAGCCAGTGAATAAGAGGGGGGTGGTGGGTGGGAGGAAGTGGGAGGAGATGAGAGGTACTCATATTTTTTTTTGGGGGGGGGGCCATGAGATTTTGTATACAAAATTGTTGCTCCCTGGTGGTCCCTCTTCTTTTCTGACAAAACTGGGGGGGGGGGACATTTGATATAATGCCCCCCTCTAGGAAAAATCATGGGGGGGGGACATGTCCCCCTGTGCGCCCCCCCCCCCCACCCGGGGATTGACGCCGGGCCTTGCCAGACATCTTGCCAGGCCTTCCTGACTGATGAATTCTGTCAACCATGCAGATACATCAATAAACTTGGCCTGTAAAGCTGTACACTTCTATATCCTGGCCGTAGACCTACTACGAGTATGAATTTGTGGTAGATCTAGATCTACTGGTAGCACAAACAAAAATTGGAATCATGAAAGTAGAAACCCCCCATGAGTATCACATGAAGTATATTGACACTCTTTTTGTCCAGGATTCCTAACGGTTTTCGGAGACAATAATTTAAATGCGCAACTATTGAACTATATAGCTACAACTACTAGTTAAGTTCAAGTGAGAGTCTATATCCTTTTCGTCTGTTGGGGTCGCAACTATATGTATAGCTGCGCTGCTTTCCCGCTGCATGCATACCGTACGTAACTTAGTACTAGAGTCTACTATTACTACTTTACTTTGCCTTTGGTAACTTACCAAATTCAAACTGGCGCTGGTTTCCGAAATTCTATTTTAGTCGATATGTTTCCCAAGTTGCATGGTTAGCCATCAGTAAAAAAAAAGAGTTGAGAATTTGAGAATTCATCAGGAACAAAAATGAACGACCAATTCATAACTAGTCCACTGCAGTCGAAGTCCAATTAAGGGGGCGGAGCTGAATGAAGTTAGAATAATTTCCACACGTGCTGTATATTTATTTTCATACACACTGTATACTCTCTGGGTCCGTTCCCTTTTAATTAAAAGAAGATTATTCTTTAAAACTATTGAAACACTTTACAGGTTAGATGTGTCGGCTCTTCATTTATATGAATAAAGTAGGATTATATGACGGCTTAAATCATCAATTTGAGAACAATAAAAATTATTTCATCGCATCATCCTAAAATGAAATGTGCCTGAATTGAGGAAAAGTTACACTGACCTCGATCACCGGTGACCGACTTTCGGCCCGATGACCGATAATAAGCCAGGCGATATAGGTCTATCGCCCCGTCTAGGGTCTAGAAAATCTTATCAAAAAGTAAACATGGACTTAATTTTCTTAGGAACAGCATCTGCTCACCCATCACCTTCTCGGGGTGTATCAGGCACGGTATTAAGGAGTGGTAAGACATTAATTGCTTTGTTGCTTTGTTACAAACAAACAGCCCAAAATAAGCTAGATCTGCAGCCGCGTGGCCGTGTTAACCCCAACGGAGCTCCCTTGAGTTACCAAGCCGTAGCGTAGGGCGTCGGACTATCTCGATATACGATAGGATTGTTGGGAGTGGGCCGTGGGAAGTTTACCGGTAGACCCTATCCAGAGACCAGACACGTAACATTTTAGCTGTCACTTACTTTACTTTCTTTACTTTAATACACACGATGTTGTAGGTCTAAGCCTGTTCATCGATCGCGATCCAGGATCCAGGATTCTTCCATGGTTACTGCTATTTTGTCTGCCTTTGGCTTTGGCTTTGGCTTTGAACGCTACGGGATGTGCATCAAATTAAATAATCATGTGCCACATGGCACATGATGTGGCTATATAGATCTAGATCTAGGTCTAGGTCTAGACTAAACTATATTTGTTTTTTTATGAGAAATAGTGTAATTTAGTGTCTAGAGGTCTAAGCATAGATCTAGTCTAGAGTCTAGTATCTTTTCTTGTCTTAACTTTTCAAATCACCTGTCACTCGCCCCTAGACTCTAGCAATTGGATTAGCTCTAGCGTTGCTGCTAAGTATTAGTAGACTAGGCCTACTAGGCCTAGCTAGACCCTCTAGAGGTCTACTACTAATTTCATGACAACAATGCGTTGCCACTAATTTCATATGTTGCAGAATTTCATGACTAGGGTCTAGACTAGACTAGACTAAATACTTGTTAATACTAGTTTCAGATAACCTTCAAGTTTTAACTTGGTACTTGGTAACAACTTGAAAATGGAAGGATTGAAGTGTAAAATACTAAATTTTAAATAGGCCGAGCCCTAGACCGAAGTAACCACCTGGTATGGGTCATTCTTTAATAAAACTGACATTTGTCAACCCGTAGAGGTGGTCAGAGGAGCCAGATGTAATCTCAGCGGAATAACAACTGTCGAAATCACTTTAACAAACAAAGAGTGTCTGCAGTTTCAAACTACAAGTAGGGCAAGCAGTCATTGGAACCACAAGCAAGTGGAAGTTTTTTGTTTCCGCAAACTTCCACAAACTTCCTTGAACTACCACAAAGCAGATAACTTTAAAGTGAGGACCTCCATAGCTTAAACGTAAGAAATTGTTAAATTTAAAACCAAATGCCCAATTTCAGTAGTATGGCCTCATTTTTTAAAACCGAAATAATGTCCCAACCAATTGATTTAAGTAAGGTAGTTTGATATAAATACACTATTACTACATGTAGATATCATCTGAATATCAAAAAGAAAGAAAAAATGCTCAGAAGTCCTTCAATATGTTGGCTTTATCAATAACTCTATCTTTTTATCAGAGAGGGAGGCATGGTTGATAGATTGTGGAGAAGGCACCCAGATTCAGTTGATGAGAAGCAATGTGAGGCCTGGTCGCATCACCAAGATCTTCATCACCCATCTCCATGGTGACCACTCTTTTGGTTTGCCAGGTCTCATGTGCACCCTCAGCGCTGCCTTCATGGACCCTGACAGAGAGGGCAGTATCATGCATATATATGGTCCTCAAGTACGTTAGTTGGCTTATTTGGTAGATATTAGATACACGCTTATTGATATAAAAATGTTGTTGATGCTGTTCCTCTCAGTTAATGATTACTTGTAGCAATGATAGAATTCCTACACTGGAAGATATCTTTCTTGGGACGAAATTTCAAATGTGTATTAATATAGGCACCCCAAGTAATCTGAGTATTGGAGGCTGCATCAGCTTATTCCTTGGCAAAACTTGCTGCCCATGATTTACACAGAAAAAGAGTGATAAGTTATTGAGTTAATAATTGATGACTGAATTAATGGACTCATGGAACAACATTTTTGCCAAATATCTTTCTATGCATCAATCAATCACTCAATCAATAATGCAGTCATTCATTGCAATAGTGAGGAGATTACAGATGATTTCACCAGAAACATAGACTCTACAAAAGTAAATCTCTATAAAGGAAGAACCTTTATGCATCATTTTTAGTATAATTGAGATTTGATAAGGATTAAGAGAATAGAGATTTTCACAAAGATTTTTCTGTGTATAAATTGAAATCTGACAGTGTCTTCTGGAATGACTTTTTGATAGTTCTAAGAATTTCACTTGTCTAGATTATAAGTACTATTTGGACTGTGGACAGGCTACATCAAAATATGTACAGTAGGTTTACTTACATGTGTAGTACATTTACGTCTCAGACTCTCTGTTTAATGTCTAATTCATTTACAACAATCATGATTTCTGTATGCAAGTAAATCTGTGGATATGTAGTTTAACTGGGTTATTATTTTACATGAAGTACAGGACAGGTACACATTACACATCATTAGTATATACATGTATAATACTTCTACAGCTCTTGGTTTTCAAGGAGCAAATCAAATTTCAAAATCTATATTTGTATCAAACACATTTTAGCAAATCAACTTTTGAAAATGTGTTTTGCTTCCCAAGGGTTTGAGAAAGTATGTCCGTGTAAGCTTGGAGCTGTCCAGATCAGAGTTGTCCTACTCCTATGTTGTACATGAGCTGCAAGTTCCAGACACAGAATTTCCTCATGACTGGGAGGTAAGACTAAAGCCCACAGCAAAATACAATCCCTACAATCCAATAGTATAAGAAGAAGAAGTAAATTAATGTTGATAATTTAGGAAGGCTAAAAACAAAAAGCACTATGGCTCTTGTTTTATCTAATGAAATGCAGGAATTAATCCTGTTCTAAAAATTTGACCTAAATGAGATCTCAATCATACTTATTTTAATTTTAAATATTTTAGGTGTAGTTCATTAGTTTTATAAACATATCATATTTTGTGTTAACTTGTAGCATTTGATTTCTCCCCAAGTAATTTGTTATTGTTTTTACAGTTAATTTGTGGTTGTTATGATTCTGTAAAACGATACCCCCTCCCCCAGTAGTCAATAACAAATATTGATATTGCTTTTTCAGGAAGTGATAGTAATGTGTGTAAAATGGTACTTTAAAGTTTCTCAAACTTGCAGTGAAAAGATTTGCATACTCAAGTTCTGCCTCAAGTTCAGTTTACTGAATTTCTTTAAAAAGTCAACTCTTTTACAATCTACGCGTACAGAAACACAGATACAGCTGGGGATGATGGGATCAAGGGTACTATGAAAGACCAATGTGGTAATGTCTAGACAGTCCCTTTCAGTAAAGTGAAAAGTATTTGAAGGAAGGAAGATTTACCTCTTAATTTTGTTTTATATATTTCAGACATGGAAACCATCGCATGAGGCAGAGGGTTCATTACATCCCAATGAGAAGACAGGACAAGCCATTTTTATGACCGCAGATGGCACTTACAAGCTGTGGGTAAACCAAAATGTGTACAATTATTCCTTGATTTATTGAGTTGTACATGCTTCATGTTTTATAATATGAGAATAAACTCAGCTGTATGAATATAAAATGCACAAAGAGAGAGGATACAATTGGGATTTACATAAAAAGAAAATCACATTCATTTAATCTGTCACATTGTTCAGTCATAGGACGATGGATATATTTTATTAACTATACTGATTGATTTGCTTTTCTTTGTTTGCAGACATGAGGATGATAATTTTATCATCCATGCTGCCACAATAAGTCACAGGGTACCTTGCTTTGGATATGTGTTCCTGGAAAAACCTCAACCAGGCAGGTATTACATGTGATTTCCATCCATTGATATAGTATACAAATAATGAATGGTTATGAGTTCAATAGTGCAAATATTTTCATGAGTTGAAAGATTAACATTCTATTCAACGAGGCGTCAGCCGAGTTGAATAGAATTAATGTTAATCTTTCAACGAATGAAAATATTCGCACCATTGAACGAAAGAAAAACATTCATTATTTGTTTTATACAACATCGAAGAAGATCTAATAGAACGTTAATCAACAAATTATGCTTTACTCCTTATATTAAAGATAAATTCAAGTTGGATTCAAGCCTTCTCGATTACATTCAGATTGCCTTCGCGTCAGATACACGCAGGGATACGCGCGCGCACAGCAGAGAGGTACGCAGTCTGCATATAACCAAAAATGCACGGCGCATATAACCAAAAATGCACGACCGTGCAATATACCATCTATTGAATATCATGTGACCAACAATCCTCCAGTCAAATGACAGGGATCCACGTAGGTGTTGTATAATATATAAATATTCAATGCTTTGAGAGGCATGGTCAAAACTAAATCCAAAAAGTGTTTTAAGAAACTGCACTGTACACTCTCAATATATTTTTGAGTCTTCAAATGTAACCATGACCCCCAAATTAAGCAGTTATTGGTTTTATATACAGCATCCTGAGTCTACATTCTTAGAAAAAGTGATTTTGATTTTAAAAAATGTCGGTCAAAGCGGTTGTCTGTCCGAACGTCCCGTTCTTGTGATCGTTCTCAAGAACCAATTTATGGATTCCCGCCAAACTTGGGTCATGTACATGTATGTATCTTGCAGAGCCAATTGGTTGGTTAGATTTTGGGGTCACGAGATCCAAGGTCAAAGGTCACAGGGCTCATTATGCATGCAAAAATAGCTTGTGATTGTGTTATCTCAAGAACCCATTGATTGATTCCCGCCAAACCTGGGTCATGTATGTATCTTGCAGAGCCAATTAGTTGATTAGATTTTAGGGTCATGAGGTCAAAATTCAAAGGGTCAAACATGTATATGAAACATGGCTTGTATTAACGATATTCTGAGAAACTTTTAATGGATTGCAATCAAGCTTGAATTTTAAAAATTGATTCTGTTTTGGTTTGTAAAATTGCTCCATGGCAGAGGCATCATTTTCGACAGCACGCAGTCGAAGATCCATCTAGTTATTTAGAGTTTGAGTAGACCCCATGCAACAGTCAGAATATTTGTTAAAGTAGATATTCATTGATTTTAAATCTAGCTTTATTTTCATTATTGCAAAGTTGAAACTTTGATTCGACAAGGTTATCAAAATTCAATGCTTTGAAATATTCGAAGTAATGATTATTATAAATTACAAAACGCTTAAATACAGCCCCGGCATAGCACCTGAATAGCTCTCCGAACGCTGCTGAGATGTGTGAGATCACAGCAGGGACATGATTTGCACAAGCAGACGATGTACCATGACATCTCACACATTTTCAGTGCCTGTATTTTCATCTTCTCTTGAGTTCTTTCTCTTACTTCACTACCGCCAGGCTAAATGTATAATCTATTGCCTCACTCTAAACCCCGCGCATGGTTTTATTTTTATGACAAATGCAGCGATACAAAAATAAAGGAATCTGTCGCTTGTAAACAAAATAAGACGCCATTGTATATTCAGCTGCAGACACCGCGGTATGTTCGGCATTTTAAGAGGGAACAAATGCCGTCCTTAATATCAATCCGGGGGCTTTTCAATTTGAAAGGCTGGTTTCTTTGATTGTTAATTAACCCCTATCCTGTGTATTTACAAGCATAAGATTTTAGTTATCAGAATCGGGTCATGTCCCCTTTTGATCGGTTTGACGTGCCAGTACATTTATATACACTAAACTCATTATAATTTGACAAATAATAGCTTTGCAATTATGTTCATTCTTTATGGGATGTCGTCTGCTTGGGCAGTATTGGTCCCTGTTGTGACGTCATTAAAACATCGTTATTTTTCTGGCGAATCTCTCGTATATCCCAGCTGCTGTGGAGGTGGTTGTATTTTTATGTTTATAATCACCCGATATGTAGCTGACCTCAAACTTGTACGATGGCCATCTGTTAGCTTACCAGTTTCTAGTGATACATTAGTTGACATATTTGTGATTTTCTTTGAATTTCACCTTTAATAACTTTGTTTATTTCTTTTTTTGCTTCCTAGTTTTGTTGAGTCCTGTTAATTGTAACATTTTGTAACCTTCGATGTAAGGACAGAGTTAAGCAGCAAAAATTAGAGATGGTCAATGATTCACTGGATTTGGGCAGATGCAGATATCTGTAGCACAGTCACTCTTCTGGTGGTCATCATGTCAATGTTCCAACTTTTTTCTGTCGTTAGGTTAGATGCTGAGATGCTCAAGGCAAGGGGAATCAAGCCAGGTCCACTGTATGCCAGAATCAAAGCCGGGCATGAGATTGAAGCTCCAGATGGCTCAGTTATCAAACCCCAAGATGTTGTTGGACCAACAAGACAAGGAAGAAAAATTGGTAACATTTGGTCTTAATTTTTCATTACCTCTTGATGATTTATAAAGTGTAAAATGGAATACTCTCTATGCTGTGTATGCTGCATTGTTGGCATAGCCACGAACTTCTTTTTTATTTTTAGGAGGGAGGTGGGGGGATATGCCATTAAAAAAATTGCCAACAAATTGAACTGGATAAATTGGCTTTAATACATTTGCCCACACATTGAACATTTTGTGGGCAAAATCTTTGAATATCTCATTTAAGTCTCATCAATTTTCAGATTTTTTAAATCACAGATAGTTCAATCAAGGGTGAGTGAACAGTTTGTGTCAAGGCTATAAAATCAAGACTTAACATTGTTATCAACCCCAATTGTTCCAATGTGCTCATCTACCAACAAAATGGCCCCATATACTCAGGACAAAATGTGTTTGTTCTTTTTTGACCTTATCAATAACTCAATGCAAATGATGCAATTGTTATGTCTGAGTAGACCTGATCCTACCAAATAATATAGTATTACCTTTAATTTTGATTAATATTCATCATGCTTGGATGTTATTCAGAAAATTATTTCATCTTGATTTAACTGAAATTATTTGTATTACCATAACAAATTTAAACCCATAAACGTGTTATTGGTTAGTGATTGTGCATTGCATGTTTTTCTCCAGGGAAGACATCTGTGCAAGCACCAATCAAATCTTGTGAATTAGATTTTTAAAGATCATTGTCAGAAAGAAAAAAACTCTTCCTGGATGGGATGCAGAGATATGTAGGGAAAGTATGTATTCCATTACAGATTGAATGCATTTTTCTTCTTTCTCCTTTTTGATCATGAAAATAATCCTGGGAGACACAAAGGAGTCCTCTTGAATCACTTCCAATGCCATGAAAGCAAATGTCTTGCAAAAAGGTCATTTTGAATTGACTGAAATTAACCGGACGCATAGTCGGAGATGCAGTCACATTCAACTTGTTTTTTATTTCTTCTTTTTGATCATGAAAGTAATCCTTGGAGACACCAAGGAGTCCTCTCGAATCATTCCCATTGCCATGAATGCAGACGTCCTTGTTCATGAAGCTACCCTAGCGGATGAGCATCATGATCTATGCATCGGAAGAGGGCACTCCACACCAGGTTTGTACCAATAGTAAATCAGGGTTTGTTTTGTAATTGATGGTTAACCAGGGCCCTGTCTTATAAACAGCTGCAATTAATTGCAACTATGTAGAGATAGGGGACTGCCAACTTGAAATTGATCGGAGGACTAACGATTGATTCAAATCAATCACAACTCTTTATAAGATGGCCCAGCTGGAATCCAGAACAATGAGATTATTTAAATTGAACTTATACATTAAATGTGTAGACACAGTTCTAGGGAGATGATAGGGATGTTAACAAATCAATATTGGCTTCTTGTATGGTGCTCCAATATTTCCTTGGCTTTATGCTACTGATTTCAATTCTCACAGCAATTTTGTTTCTACACTGTACCCACTTACTACAACTGGTTGAAGAAAGATAGATGTAGATTTATATCTTGCCAAAGTACTTGAGTACTGTTTACATTTGTTTGTATGCCTCCGCTACGAAGTAGCCAGAATCATTATGTTATCGGGTTGTCTGTACGTATGTACATCCGTCCGTACGTCCCGTTCTCGTGATCTTGTTATCTCAAGAACCGACTGATGGATTCCTGCCAAACTTTGGTCATGTATGTAACTTGGAGAGCTAATGAATTGATTAGATTTTGGGGTTACGAGGTCAAAGGTCACAGGGCTCATTATGTATGCAAAAATAGCTTGTGATCACATTATCTTTAGAACAGATGGACAGATTACCATCAAACTCGGAACATGTATGTATCTTGCTGATCCAATGAATTGATTAGATTTTGCAGTCACAAGGTCAAAGGTCACAGGGCTCATTATGTATGCAAAAATAGCTTGTGATTGCATCGTTAGAACCAATGGACGAATTACCATCAAACTCAAGACATGTATATCTTGCAAAGCCAATGAACTGATTAGATTTTAGGGTCATCAGGTCAAAGATCAAAGGGTCATACATGTATATGAGAAATAGCTTGTAATCACGTCATTCTGAGAACCTGTTAATGGATTACAGTCAAACTTGAATTTGAAAAATTGCTTCTATTTTGGTTTGTAAAATTGCTCCATGACGGAGGCATCATTTTCGACTGCATGCAGTCGGTGCAGTTGAAGTTCCATCTAATTGTCGTTTGTGTTGGTCTAAAAAATTCACCCTATGCATGATAAGCATTCACAGTGCCATTTCCAGAACTGAAAACAAGGACTGAAAATAATTTGCAAAATTCCAACCAAACTTATTAAATCTATGAAAAGGAAGATTTTAAAAAAAAAATTGCTGTCAAAAAATAAAAAGTAATTGGTTCCAGGGATGTTAATTTACATTTGACTATCAACCATGATTCATCAAGATCAAGCGATTTCAGGTTATCGTTGTGAAAGATTAAAGATCAGGTGGATCGGTAGATTGAAACTGATACCTTGAGACCATACTCTCATACTCATTTTTGTATCTCAATGTACATCATTTTGTTTCGTCTTTTTTCTTTCTTTTTTTCTTTTCTCTGATTGACAGCCATGGCAGGTCAGTTTGCTGCTCAAATCCAATGCGAGCATCTAGTCATCACTCACTTCAGTCAGAGATACTATCCCTTATCACATCAGGGCAAGGTGATTACATACTCTCTAAATCCTTTGTCACATGAAATAATTATATAATATTGGATTGCTTTGAGTGTGATACAAGAATATATTGCTTGAGCTATGAAAATATTGGACGAGTCAAAGACGAGTCTAATATTGTCATAGCAAGAGCATTATATTCTTGTATCACACAAAGGCAAAGCCATATGATATTATTATTATTATCTGTATCAGGCTGATGTAAAGCGAAATAACAAAATATGACTTACCTCGGTAAATATGGCTTTGTTTTCATGTGATATTGATATCGATAGTTGAAGTTCCCGGATGACTGAGCAATACGAAAACAATATTGATCAGTCATCTGGGTCCTGCGTTAAATATATTAAATACATTAATTTATTGTACCACTTGGAAGCCTTATATGTATAGATAATAATTCTTCTGATGTTTCCTGTTAATAGATATTGATAAAAACTACATTTAGCCTGCGCGCATATCCATCCAAGGGAATGCAAAAGGTGCATACAAAGTACTAATATTACCCTGGCTTTAGCCCAGCTGCCCTTTTAAAGGTGCTTAATATCAAGGAATACAGTTCTACCAGGTACCCATTTACTATACATTGGTAGAGACTAGAGAGTGGCGAATGTTTTGATACATCTTAAAGGAAAAGGGTAATTTTCATCATAAATTAACAAATTTTTATTAAAATTGATGAAAAATGATTTCAGTTCACATTTTTAAATGTGTTGTGTATTGTTTATGTGCTTCATTAATGTGCCAAATTACCAAACATTAAATTTTCCAAGGCACAGCCAAAGTATTTTTTCTATTTATTTAAATCCCAATTGTATCCTCTCTTTTTGTACATTTTATATTCATACAGCTGAGTTTGATCTCATATCATAAACCACTATCTTACTTTGATTTTTGCAGCTCCATTTCTCTTGTACAATGTCTCTCATACTTCTTCCAAATGGTAAATGTTTTAGACAGCTCCATATCTCTTGCACTATATCTCTCATACTATATCTTTCATACTCCTCCCTGTTGGCAATAGGAAGGGGATGAGACTGTTCAGAAGCTTCTTGATCAAACGAGAGCAACGTTTCCAGGAGGGAAGGTGACCGCAGCGGAGGATTTTTTGACTATCTCTGTTCCAGCCAGGAGGTGATGCAAGCCATCATCCCTGCTTCCCCATTTTATCAATAGTAAGATTTGATTACGTGATTCTTGAAGAAATGGCAATTCATATTATGGAAATCTAAAAAAAAGAGTTTTGCTGATTTAGAGTGTATACAATGATACGAATACTAACAGCCAGCATTGTAGTGCCTTTAATTAAAGCCTTCTTGTCAGAATAAATGCTGAATCACCTTCATATTGTATCACATTCTGAGCCATTTAACTTGTTCTTCCATCAAGGAAGTCTGACATCCCCCCAAATTTAAATTTCATAAATCACATGAGGAATCAGATCCTCAATCATTAAGATTTTCACATTTGAATGTTCATATAAAATGCTGTTTTAAATATGAAATGTTTTAATCAGATAAGCACAGGGTTGGATGAAGACTACAAACCGGTACATAACATGGCTTAAATCACTGAAGAGGTTCATCTGATTAGTGATGTAACTTGAATTTTTTTTTTTTTTTTTTTTTCACGTTCAGAAAAACTACATGTTTTGGTAAACTTATTCAGACCTATGTCATAGTTGGCGCTGTTGCTGATGCAGTACATCTTGATGTGTAGCACAAAATGTAATTCATCCATGAACATAGAATTGGAGTCAAAGCTCGTCATCTGCGGTCATTGATAGTTAAATGTAACGTTTTAATAATATATCTCTTTTATTACTGCTCAGTTCTCCTTTTATTATTGCTTCTAACTAAATTCTCTTCACATACTATTTCTAAGTTTTATTGATTGCGATATCAGTCGAGACTCTTGGTTGTAAACCGCTTTTGGTATCCGTTTATTACGTGACTGCCTATCTTTTATAATAACAAAACTTAACCACAAGATATTAAGCTAAGATCAAATAACAGGTCTTTCGTTTACCTCTCTCTCTCTCTCTCTCTCTCTGGATAAGTAATACTCTTTGTTCCTCTTTGTTCACTATGCAAAATCTCATTCATACTCAGTTAATATAACACACAGAAGGGAATCACAACAGAAGCATGTATCAAACAAATAGTGAAAGTGTTATGTGAAAACTTGTTGAAAATTCAATATTGTTGAAAAATCTTAACAAATAATATATCTGAATTATGCCGTGTAAATTTCATCTACCGGTAATCCATAAATAGAATGACAGTATACAAATGATGCACAGGTTTGAGTGCGTCGGTAGGGATTGTGTGCACAAGGTACCTTTGAATGGTTTTAGACCAAATTCAAAGGTACCGCGTGCACACAATTCCACCGACCCACGAATTGAACCTGTGCATCATGTGTTTTATAAGATGGGGCCTAAAAATTGTCAAAAATACAAAATTTTGTTATTTTACAGATTTATCGGATGCATGGCAAAATCATTCGTCCAGTAATCCAGTAATTACCGGACGCATGATTTTGGCCAATGGTAAGAATGTATTAGGAAACAACACTCAAGACTCACCTCACTTGAAACAAATGATATGAACTCGAACTCCATGAAGAAATAAAAAAAAATGATGAATGCTGAACTTGAAGTTGAACAAGAAAGTCCCCTGAAGTACAAGTTGACTCTATATACACTGTACACTATATACACAGATAGGCTGGTGTCATTTAATGATTGTGAATTGTAGAGTTTACTACACCCAGCTGCAGTAGAGATCTGTTTCATTTTGTTCGAAAGTGTGTTCTGATTCTGTTCTGATCCTGGTCCTGATCGAGTTGATATTAAGATGTAGGTTGTGTAGATCAGAAGGTCCGCTACTTGGAGACCTGTAGAAAGCTGCAACTATCAGGTCTGGTTGGTTGTTTACTTTTACTCTGACAGCTAAAAGTGGGCATTCATGACGTAGGTCCAATAATATAACTTGAAGTGTTTGTCGGAATGCGATAAGAATTCCACCTCCCCAACGGTCTCTGTCTTTTCTACATATACCATATCCTCGAGACTAGTGTATTAACTCTTGGTTACTAAATTCATTGTCAAGTTTAGTTTTGGTGGCTACAACTATATCAGGGTTTAAATCCTCAATAATACCCTGGAATTGGGTTTGTTGTCCAAAGATTTGAAACTGCATACGTTTAAGTTGAGAACCCTCAGTCCTTTATCAGATGTGTGGTTCATATAAGACGGAGGAGTACTCCGAGTAGGGTCTGTTACAAAAGAATGTCATCAAATCTATGAACACCTTGTTTTGCAAACCTTTTGGTGTATCACAATCTAATTCAGTACTTGACTGAATTTTGTCCATGTAATTGCAGATATTGTGTCTTTATGTTTAGTGCTACCAAGACCATCACACTTTAACTTGACAAGCACAGCTTTAAACATACGATTGCTTTCGGGTTTTCTTACAAATGTCAAATTTATCATTGTCCAGAAAGTGGCGTTGAATATCGTACCGTGCGTACTGAAGTGATTTTTTTAGTGTACTGCTCACCATTGGTCTTCCGCACTGATGCGTAGAACTCCGACAAAAGTTTTTCCAGTTCTGACGTTGAAATGACTTCTAAATTTACATGTTTGAGCTCTGCAAATCTCTCCAACTTTAATAGAAAATGAGTATTTGATCGATTTCTTTGTACTGGCAGCATCTGTATCGTCGAGTAATTTATGAAGTTCCTCATCGGAAAGTAGCTGAAACGAAGCATCACCGTGAGCGGCCATTCTGCTCTCGCACACAACAATCAACAACAAAGCTATCGTTTATATCATTAATGCTATCGCGAATATGGCGTGCATCCAGTAAAAATAACTACACGGTAATTGACCAATCAGATTGCAGGGATTCTTCTAACCATCTTATAATAACACCTATTGTGCTTTGATATGATGTAACTTGATCAAATTTTCTGACCTGTGGCTGGAGACAGTCATAATGTCTCTTGAAACAAAGCCAGTATGATCAACACGAGTGACACTTGTAGCTCGTAGTGAGTGATTGATGTAGATTTGACTGAGATTTGCTTCCTTGCTGATGGTTTTCATCATCACCTCCAGGGTGTGTGTACCAATCGGTGCATTGTCATACCACTGATCTTGTTTCCCAGCTTTGGGTTTCTGTTTTGGGCGTTGCCATAGGAATGGACAATCGGGATGGAGTTTAGCCAAATATTCTTTTACAAATTTGACTGGACACACTGTGTCAGCATCTCCGCGGGCGTGCATTTCTCCACCTGTCTCTTACGGGAATCCAAAGCATGATTTTTTTTTTGTGGCTTGAGTTTTCATTGTGTAGTATTAGGTCAGTTTTCCTCATTTTCCCCAAATTCTCCATACCACGATTTTCGATTTGTAGCATACAGGCAATGAATGCTCTGCGCTGGAGACCCTTGGGCTCTGACAAGTCCCAAGTGTTTTTATCGATTTTGTTTGAATCATCATCACTAATTGGAGGGTGATGTGTTGCCTCCGCTTTGCCAATTGATTTCAGCTTTGCTATTTTTGCTTTGAAAGTGTGATTGGAACAACCAAACTCACCGCTTTTTACAATGTCTACATCCTTGGTTGAAATGAAGTGGCATTGCAGTCAAAATCTGATTGAAAACATACTTTTCCCAGTGTAATCCTCTCCTCGTTTGTTTTTTGCAGCAATATAGAATCTCGCCAAAACACTGTCCAAATCTTGATATGAAAGTTCCTCAAAAGTGACGTTAGTCACTCTGCAGAATTCATGAAAAACATCCAAACAAAACCTGATCACTTTCTTCGTATTTGAACTGTCAGTGGAAGCAATAAAATCATCGATATGTGCCCCTTGTAAGAGTTCAAAGCGAACTTCCTTGGAGGCCGCCATGTTTGTTTACATAATTATCTGATCCGAACCGATAAGCTACTGGTACGCGGTGACTTGCCCCGGTAATGCAGGCAGCAAGGTTATGAGCAGTCCGGCCGTACGCTCAGCAGGTTGTCTGCGCGTTCGAATTTGACACAATTTTTTTTTGTCAACGAGCAGTGAGCATGCGCAGTAGTGCCTTGGAATAAAATATTAGATAGAGCATGCACAGTTCTGCCCAGGAAAAAATAGTGAAAACTATTCGGAGGTCTGGCAGAGATTTTTTTTCATAGTAAAATTATATTTTATCGCGTGATCACCACTTGACCAATCATGTATTTAGAATACTAATGAATATTCATTTAAGGGATATAGAAAGTAATATAATGATTTATATCAAATTTTAATTTTAAATTGTATAATTTGTATAAACGTAGGCTTAAAGTTAAAGTGCATTGCATACTGTATAAAATATGCATGATTCACCTGGTCCTCATGAGAGTGTGCAGGATCAAGCATGATTTGACAATGAGCTTGACAGTGGAGGGGTGATACTGCATGGTACTTGGCAGAAACTGGAATCTGTTTGACAGGATGCCAAAAGCATTTTCTAATATTATTATTATTATTACTACCCTTGCTCGGGAAACCTGTAGTTGAAGATGTGTTGTTCATTCGTCAGACCCCAGAGGCTGTATAGCTTCATCATGGTTGGTCGTAGGGCAAAGGCATCGTCACCAATGAAGAAGTAGGGCACATCCTGGTTGTCGTTGGGAATAGGCTCAGGGTCAGGGAAACCTAGGGTACCGTCTTCAGCGCATTCCTTCAGCTCACAGTCATTGTATATCTGCGCATCTGATGCAGATCCAGTACCACCGACATCTGCCATAATGAATTTGTAGTCAGCATCCACAAGCGCCATCAGAAGAATAAAGTAGAATCCTTTATAGTTGTAGTATTGGGACCCACCCTTTGAAGGACAATGGCAGGCCATGTGCTTCCTATCAAGTGCCCCACATGTTTTGGAAAAGTTCCATCTTTGGGAGAACTTGTCAGCTATGGTGCACCGACCATGGTGTGCTTCCCTTCTGTCTTTAAGAGATCCCCAGTTGAGTTGGTTGAGTAGCTTGTTGACACTGGTGTCCCATCCATAATTATTGGTGACAAAACGTGCAGCCTGACGTTGAACTTTCTCGACAGCATAGGTGTTTTTGGCTATATAAGGGTCCCATGCTGCAGTGGCATAGTCAAGGTGTGGACGTACAAAAGTAAGATACAAATTTTCTTTAACATTAGATGAGCAGTGATGGAAGTTGCGCCTTCGGAAGTTAAGGACCCTTGAGGCTGTGCCGGTTGCGTAATGAGTCTGGATATTCCAGCGTAGGTCTTTCTGGATATTGATGCCAAGGTATAGGGTCTCGTTCGTTTCCTCCAGGGTAACATCAAGGATTTTGTAGGATTTAGTACCCGGAGTTCTGTTTCTTGAAACATGCATGGTTTTGCATTTAGAGGGATTGAAATGCATGCCCCAAGTCTTGGACCACTGGGCCATAGTATCTAGGTCTTGTTGAAGAGCTTTCTCATCTTCAGCAGATTTGATGGGACGGTAAAGTAAACAATTCTAATGATATTTAGTGTCTAATAATATGTTTACTGACATGACAAATTCAGCTATACAACTTTCAAAAGTAAAAGTGATTACCTTGACCATGAAAATTCAAAATGGCTGCCAAAAGGGCTACCGATAGACTTGAATCAGGATCTTTGACCAACAATAACACAGTTATTTCTAAACCCATTGTACATTGATGCTTATCTTGCTTTATTGCACATTTCATCATCCTACTCAGTGTCATATCCATCAGAATCAGAATCACTAGCTGTTACAATCACTAGTATCTGTCTCTGTGTCAGAGTCTACAGTGCGGTTTGTTCTGGCATCACTAAGACGTCAAGGTAGTGCCGGCTGTGAATACCGTGTTGGCAAAAATTATTATTCATCCCCTCCCATTTTTTGGCCCAAGCTTATGCACATGCAAACAAAGTTGACAGATTCCTTTAATTTGGCCACTAGAAATCTTGCATTGGTCTCCAAAGATTTAGTATAGATGTACAACACATAAGACTGGAGTGGATATTTATCCTACGTGATAATTTTGCAACCTGAAAAAAAAGGTCTTAATGGAGAGCCATGCCGGATCCAGTCATAATGTCTTAATTTATTCTCACCTGAACATTGATGGAGTACCTGTTCTTCCTATTGATGTAATACCTGGCTCGTGCCCCACCAGGGCCCCTGATGTAAACATGTGTCCCATCAACAGTACCTACGACTCCTGAAAACCTGCAGTACCGGTACTGGAAAAACTGCTGCTGAATAGCAGTCACTTCTTGCCTTGTAGAAAACTTCATGATTTGTCCCTTTCTTCTGGCAACAGCTTCAGAAACATCCTTCACTACTCGGCAAACAGATGACTGTGACGTCCCCGCCTCATCACCGTGCATCCTTTGGAATGATCCAGTACCACCGACATCTGCCCAAATGAATTTGTAGTCAGCATCCACAAGCGCCATCAGGAGAATAGAATAGAATCCTTTGTAGTTCAAGTATTGGGACCCACTCTTTGGAGGACAGCGGCAGGCCATGTGCTACCCATCAAGTGCCCCACATGTATGGGGAAAGTTCCATCTTTGGAAGAACTTGTCAGCTATGGCACGCTGACTATCAGGAGTACTTGGCAAACCAGCACCTCATCCGCGTATTCGTCAATAATGTCTTTACAGACTTCTCTGACCACTAGAGACTAGGTGTTGTGAGGGACCCTCCATCCGAACTTCATCGAGGCATACTTTTTCCCAGGTAAAGTCAGGGCCAGCTTCATGCCAGGCTCAAGCAGATCCCTGTAGAAGATGTACTGCTTGGTTATCCTTGGACCCACTCTGGCTAGCAGGTTGTCGAACATCGCTGGGGGCATACGCAGGAAGTTGGATGCATGGTCCTCGTTACGGAGTTCCACCATAAGCTGGTCATACATGCTAAACTGTCGTCGCCTCCCTTTCTTAGGTTTTCTCTCCTCCGCATTCTGCGCGTGCATTCTGAGGAAATTCCACTGTTGGTTGTGTTCTCCTCTTTAAATGTTCTACAAAGTTTGTCTCTGTCTTCTTTGGAGAATGTGCTGTTGCAGTCTAACTACAAGAGTGGCAGGGAAGTCCAGGCTATCTTTCAGGTATCTTGTTTCCCACTGGCTGATATGCATGCCTCCCCGGAGTTCCTCAGAGTTTTTTTCATGTTTCTCTGCCAGCCTTACAGAGTAGATTTTTCTCTGCATCGGTTTTATCTTTGAAGCTTTCACAGTTTTTACATGTATCTTTCTTGGGTGGTTGAATGCCAAGATTGTACTCAGTATTAACAACTGTCCTATACAA